GTACTCCGAAAACTGATTAGAAAGTAGTTGGGAAGGGTTTTCCCGCGTCTGAGGGATCTGCTGGCTCTGAGTGCGTGTGTACGAGCCGAGAGGCACTATCAACAATTTTTTCAATCTAGCTTCAAGAGAGTAAGGCTGCAAGGTTCGGGGAAATTCTGCCGCAACAACTATTTTTGCTCTGCGAGTGCATCTGTTTTCCACCTGCTGATGGTGATAGTTCCGACTTTTTAGGCAGGTTTCTGATTGGCTGAAAATGTTCTCGCGTGCAGTGTGACCTTAGGTATTTTCGGCAAAGTTCTGTAATCTGCCTGAAGGTCTGGAAGAAGAAGGAGACACGATCGCTGGGACAAGAGCTTTATTAGCCTGACGTTTCGGATTCCTGCTCGAACCCATCATCAGAGACGAAGCAGATGCGGGTGATTCATGGACAAGGGGCTGCAGTATTTATAGGATGCAGTCGCCATGCTACCACACATCTATGAATATTAACGGCTCCCCCCCCCTTCATCAGGGATCGTTGCGCTTGATGTGCCGACTGTTTGATGGCCGACATTCGCGTCGTTAATTGCCGCAATTTCATCACGTGCGTTGGATGTTGGTGTGATGATGGCTCAACCATCTGATCCACCTACCCGGCGTTGGGAAAAGTGTTCACCTTTGCGCTCCCCGCGTGGCTAATAACTCCGCCTAGGCGAAGTCTCAGCACTGAGACTGGAAGGGAAATGTCATAGCACTTGTTACTGGACTAGGGGCCAGTAAACCATGACTCAAGCAGCTCCCGGCTCACGCGACTGTCACCTGTTACGAGAATTTCGGCCTCGACAAATTTGAATGTGTGGCCGGATCTCGTCGAATAAGCCGTAACTTGAGAGCTGGCGTCATTTCTACACACCGCTGCAGCGTACTCGGCCATTCTCTTTCGGAGCTGTCTTCCGGTTTCTCCGACGTAGTTGCTCTGTCCGCAACTGCACCATATCCGAAAAACGTCTCCGGACTTCCTTGTCGTGGCAGCGGGTCTTTCGGTTTCATGAAAGACTGCTTCCTGGGACTCAAGTCTTCGCTTCTACTATCTGAATGTGTTTTGATACTGGCGGAAATTATCTTGCGTATCTTAACTGGTACTTAATGAAGGCGTGGTTCTTAGCCCATATCTGGTGAACTGCTGAAGACTGGTCGAGCACCGGAACAGTTTGTTTATTGCTCTGAGATTTCGAACTCGTGCAAGAGCCCACCGTCAGAGATAGTAGTGACAACGAACGAGCGACAATTATAGGGGGTGCTAGCCAATCATCGATCGATGCCGCAGGACTGGAGGCGATTGGGCAGTTTATGCAGGATGGCTATCCGAGGACATTCGAGTAAGAGTTAAGTGCATGCGCGGTGTTAGGAAAAACTATACGTGACTGCCTACTATATTTTTTAATAAGGGTGTTTTTCTGCAGAGTTTTTGGTCGGCCCTTCCCTTACCTGTACCGCCCCGAAGGGTCAGTTCTGGTAAAATGTCTGCATTGGTCCACTGTTCTGCACGCCTCACACGTAATTTAGTAGTAAGAGAAGAACTCAATTTTAAGAAAAGATCGGAAGGGACAGAAGTCAGGGAGTAAAATAACTATTGAAATAATAGTAGATGGACTGCATACAGAGATGAAATGTTGGATGAAATTCTAATATGCATTTTCGATTAGGAAGGATTACTTGGTCGCGGTTGTAATACCGATTATCTTGCGGCATAATCCTATAACATTTGGGACTGGGCAGGATTTTAGCTTTTGATTACATTGTTCTTTAATCTCCCGTAGAAAGCAGTGTAATCAAAAGCTAAAATTCTGACCAGTCCCAAATGTTAGAAGATTATGCCGCAAGATAATCGGTATCACAACCAAGTAATTCTTCCTAGTAAAAAACGCATATCAGAATTTCAGTTAACATTTCATCAGATCGGTAACTCACTGTACGTCTCCCAGTAAAGTACAGTCTTACAAATCTACACATTCCTCAGATGCGATATCGAAGATCGGTCAGATAACTGAACCATTAAGTCGACTCAACCTGAACAATTTAATCTCGAGGGTAGAGGAACACTCACTGATTGTTCTTGTGGAACTCGCTCGTTCCGTTGTACCTTATGGGCTCTCTCTCGGGCCCAACCAGCATCCGCACAGGGACGTTTGCTATAGGCAGAATGTTATTGCCGACAAAGACGAGGGAGACTGGAATGGCCATTTCTGCCTTATTAACCGTCGTCAGCCAGTCACGCCCAAACCCGAAGTGTGGAACACCTGAGGCTCGAACTCATGACCTGTTGGTTAGAAGTCCAACGTCCCTAACCACTGAGCTGAGGACTCGTTATCCTGTCGGATTCGATCGGCAATGTACAGTTGTTGAGGGGCGCTCACCGATCGTTCTTACAGGACTCATTCTTCTCGTTGTACCTTGCGGGCTCTCTCTCTCGAGCCCAACCAGCAGCCGCACAGCGGCGCATGATATGTGTGACGGGCTGACGACGTCTGGTAAACAAGAAATGGCCACCCCAGTTTCCTCTGTCATTGTCGGTAATAACATTCTGCCTATATCATGCGGCGCTGTGCGGCTGCTGGTTGGGCTCGAGAGTGAACCCGTAATGCACAACGGGACGAGTGAGTTCCGTAGAAACGATCGGTGAGCGCCCCCTACAATTTAATTAATCATCAAAATACAATTCGAAGAGCGACGGAAGGGCTGTTAGCCTTAAAGATCAGACCACGTGTTTCTTTATCTATCGTTTATGTTTACTTTGGATACCGCACAATTGACAAGATAATCATAAAGACACAAGAAGTGTATTTTAACAAATGACAAAATGCATGTCTTCACTTGTTTAAAGGCAGCACACAGTTAACAGGTTTTTCCGCTTGGTTCATTTTACATAACACACTGAGTAGGAAAACCGGACATAAGCGCATACCCCAAAACGGACAACAGGTTTATTTCAAACTCCTCTGGCAACCAGAGGTTGTAGTAGAATTCATTGTAATGGACTGTGGGTTCAGGAAATTCAAGTCCAGTGTAAATATGCAGACAGGGTCTGAGATAGAAATAGTGTACCAGCACGGGGATTTGCATAGGGATGTTGTGGTAGGTAAAAATGTGCCTGCTATCTTTACGGAATCCTGTAATCTGAAAAGGAGCTTATATATTTGAAGAAACAAATACACGTACCTGGCAGATGAAACTTACGTTGGCGAATTCAATATGCAAATTACAAATATGTCGGAAAGACGTCGATCGGACTCTTGTTCTGACCAGTTTGCAGATACTGTTGTTACTGAACTTAAGGCCTACAATGCAACCTTGGCAACGAGGTCCATCGGCTGTTTTGATTCTGATGTTAAATGCTGAGGTTGAAGACACTTATGATTGCACAGCCGAAGAAGATCAACAAATCAGAACTACAATGGTCTCTTATAAGTCTTCTGTTCGTAGGTGTGAGGACATTTTTAAGGAAGTTCGGTGACTCTTTAATACCTGATAAAAAGAAACGCTTAGACTCCGACGGCTGAAGTACATAATGGCCCAGAATTATTTTGGGCAGCTAGCATTACGTCTTAAGAAAAGCAGAATAGTATTTTTGCTTTATTTTAGGGATTTGGGAAAATAAAACCCATTAGGTCCCATGTGTACACGGGGACTAATTTTAACCGCTATTCGAAAGGCCGGTTGAGGATTGTGGAAGAGGGAAAATGGCAGTTTAGGGATCGTTTGTCTTTGCCAGGCAGCCAGGATCTGAAAAGCTCTGAATTTCTGCAATTTTGTTAAGGAAGAACTTTCTGTCGGCTGACGTCGCAATAACTAAAAGTGCGCCGCAGTTTTAGTATAATTTCAGTATGGCAGAACGGAAATTCGTCAGTACAAGAATTTAATCTTTAACCTTCCACCTCATTTGATGACCCTGTCAGCAAACCCACTTTGTCATTAATTTTATCCAATTCAAACTAGGAATGCATGATTGGAGTTTCTTAAATCATTCTGCACTTGACGAGAAAGCAAACGCATTGAACGTGCGGCTTTCTTTTAACGGAAAGGGACAACTTGGT